GACCATCATGGAGGCCAACCTTCCATCCATGGACTCCATTTACACGGCTTGCTGCTACAACCTCTTCCGTCAGGCAGAAGATACAGAAGCCTGAACACATGCACCAGCAGGTTCAGGAACAGCTTCTTCCCGCCCATTAATAGACTGATGAATGGACTCTCTAGCTTCAAATAACGCTGATCTTGCTAACATTGATCTCGCCTAGTGCACACACTGTGCAATGTAACCTGTATGCCCCTTTCTAAGTCTTTTTTGATCTGTACATCGTTGCTTACAATGATCTGACTGTACTGCTCATAAACAAAGATTTTCACTGTACTTCAGTACACGTGACAATCAATCAATCTTCCTGCATTTTCAGAATTTTGCAATTATTGTGGTTTACAACCAGAACTAACTGGAGACAGAATTGTCATCCAAACTTCTGTTTCATTTCCTTCAGATATGTTACAATCAAGAGATAATCTCAAATTGAAAAGAACAATCCAGACTATGGTAGAAACTGAAATCCAACAATAGCACAAGAGAATTATGGGAACTGAAAGTCAACCTGGCTCAAGAAGTTCATGAGACTTTTGTCAACTTTCTAAACCTTTTCAGTAACATGGCACACTTCAATGATACAAACAATTTCACAGCATACCCACTTTTCTCAACTGCATTGATTGCTCATAAACATTGCATTTACTCCTTCCCCCTCTCCCCCCAATTCCGCGCCCCCACCCTACCTTCTCCATGTAAACCAACATTTTCCGAGCTATCATCAGTTCTGAGGAAGGGTCACTGGTCCAAAATGTTAACTCTGATTTCTCTCCAAAAATGATGCCAGACCCACTGAGCTTTTCCAGCAATTTCTTTTTTTGTTTCTAATTTACAGCATCTTTCAGGTTTTATTACATTTACTTTCACTTACTTGATTTTCATTATTTTATTATTCTCGTTCATTATGATTTTCAATACCTATGTAACAAAACCACTGTTCTAAGATGCAAATACACTAAACACTACATGGTCGAAGAACATAAAATGTGTTGAAATCTTTGATGCTAGAAGTTAAAGTTCTAGATATGGAGTGAATAAAATACCATACAAACAGAAACATTGTCAAGCTTTATCATGCCAATGCAATTTTTGTAAGAATGTGGGACATTTCCAAACAATGTTTGGAATGGAGATCAAAAACAACCAATGAAATACAGAGCACTTACGTGCACACAGAGTTTAACGTTTTACAGAAAGCATCTTTGAGTGAAGACCCAGACTACTCTGACCATCATTAGAACTCAAATGTTGGTATCCCACCATTGGAAGATACAAATAAACCTTTCCTTAGGGTAATCATTGATTCGTCTATATCAGTTACAACACAGATTATACAGATCATATTCATTTCAAATTTTGACATCAGAATCAGTGTTACTATTTGGTCTGAAATAAATCTTTGCTTGAGGATATTGAAACCATAACCATCTGGCAGAGGATGGCATGGTGCAGGCGGAACACCACTCAAAATCAAATGAATTCTGAGAACACCCGCAAGGTACAGATATCAACATTCATCAGCATCCTGCAATTCTCACTTCTGAACATCATAAAATCTGACAATATAGTGGAAATCCTCAATCTGCTTGGAAGCTAAGTCCAATGATCATCGTAATTCAACTCAACAAGAAGAAGACTTCATAGATTTCAGACGAATATCCACTGAGCGTATGAGAAAAAAATATACTATTTGAGATTAATTGCATTGGGGTTCAACAATTTTTCACAACTAAGAGATCAGGTGATACTGATTTCTCATGTTTGGAGGAATTATTCAATTGTCTTCCAACCACAGACAAATCTTCAAAACCTGATCATTGGCTATATTTAACACCCCAGCCACTAGTAGTTAGTAGTATATTCTCAATGCAGTCAATTTAATTGTTTACAAGAACAACTCAATCGGGTTTAAATTCCATGAATGAGTCTGATTAACATGGCATTATTTTTCAAAAGATTACATGTGAGAATGGAAGGACCACTTGCAAGTCTACCTCATTACAACATCAACAGGTGCAGATTACCTCTTTCAGAAACACAATTGTCTTCTTTGGCACAATTTGAGATTCCAAGGGAACGAACTATTTGACAGTGATATTGAAGCCAGAGAACAGATATTGGGAACCTCAAAGATACACCATGGTTTCAGTGTGGCTTCTGAATGTTTCATCCTCAAGCAGCAGACTTCCAAACCAACCAAGTCATCAGCATTTAAAAAGGCAAAGGAGCAAAAGATATACCTACCTTACTTATTTGAAATGATTATGTAAAGAGATGGGAGAGATGTTGTGAAAGTTGGTGGCGGTGGGGGGGGAGATGTTGTATAAGACAGTTAGTACTTGAAATGGTTAACTGACATCATGATATAAATTCCATCCATCAGGATATAAAGGAGTGTTCCCAGAAGTGAATCACCAACTGTCATTATAAAAATCTGTCAAGACAATGAACACAACAATATCGCCACAGCAAGATGCCACAACAGAGATGAGGCAAATGACCTGATAATCTGAGGTTTTATTTGAGAGGTAAATACTTACCGGAATACTAAGAATGCCCATTCTCTTCTTTGAGTGGCATTATGGAATATTATATGCATTTCAGAGGACAGATACCTTAAAGATGGCATTTAACCTCAGTATTGCACTGAGAAATTATTTGAACTCGTGGTAACTTAGAGGTGAGAGTGTTGACACGAGGTAGGGAAAACTTCATTTGAATTGGCTGAGGTTTTTCATGAATAGGAACATCTGGGTGATGGTTAAGTTATCAGATCCTCCTAGTGCCTCGAATGCATGTAAGTATAATATTGTATATGTAAGATAAGTCTTTGGTTTGTTTGGATAGAGTCAAATTCTAATGTTTGTTTGTTTCCTTGATATGCTACTGTACAGAATCAAACTCTATTTATGACTATGTAAATATACAAAGGCATCTTTTTATGAATAAAGTATATTTTTGAAATTAAAAAAGGATAAGAGCAGTTGAATGGAGGTTTGATTCCAGGCCAGCATGTCTGACTGTCCATGTAAATTGCAGCACGTGTTATACGTAAGACAGTCAGCATTGATATTGATTCAACCGCTTATTTAAAGAGTTTAAATATCCTTTGCTTTTAACTCCTCTCTATTTCACATATTTCTAAGCTGGACGCTATGAATGGATGAAGATCTTCTTTCCCTTCCCAGGTCCTGTTTTCTCAACGCCCAGTTGTCAGCTTTCCAGTAAAGAATACAGAAATGCTTTAAAGACATTCTGAAGCTCTCTTTAAAGCACAACAGGATTGACTGAGGGAGATTTGTTGCTCGTCATCCAAAATAGAAATAACACCTCCATTAAGCTGCAGCACACCAGCAGAAAAGGAAAGGAAGCAATCCCTATGTACTGTGTCCACAGTGAAGGATGTCCTGCCCACATACCCAAAATCTTTACAACATTTAAAAGGAATCTGGATGGGTACATAAATAGGAAGAGTTTAGAGGAATATGGGCTAAATACTGGCAAATGGGACTAGATTAATTTAGGATATCTGGTCAGCGTGGACAAGTTGGACCGAAGGGTCCATTTCCATGCTGTATGACCCCATGTCTTTATCTGCGGGACAAGAATTGGCCAGTTCACTCCCATGAAGACCCATGGCAGAAACCTGGATCCTTATTTAGACATCATCCTCAATCCAAGAGAAAACCGCTGCCATTGAATCAATGGAACAAATGGAGGCGATGCTCAGTTTGCCCTCATGTGATACCTATACACAGGGCAACTCTAGAACAAGACTCATCCCCATCCACTCCCCACCTCACCCATCATCCCACCATATCAGTGAGCTAAGACTAACTTATTTACCACCTGTATTGATTCAGTTGAGATGAATACACCTCAATATAAATCAAGGAGAGAGCAGTGGACATCACAGTGGCTGGGATACATCCTCACCCCAGACAATGTTATTTTAATTCAGTAATTTTCCATTCACCTTTTGTTAATTTCTGCTAGCCATTAGTTGGTATTTTTCTTACAGCACCCTATCAGGGGCTGCCCAACCATTTTTTTGTCAATTTAAAGTTTAAAACCATAGAATGCAAAAAACAAAGTCAGTGCACTACATTCTTCATTTTAAAATAAAACCGTTGTTAAATTAATTTAATTCAGTTACTCAAAATCCATACCGAAATAGGATGCACATTCATTCAGATCTTAGGAAGTGACTAATTTTATATCCCTCCACTTTCATGGTCTGCCTGTCTGCAGCATATCAATAATGAAGATTAGCATAATGGAATTCATTCAGTTTGTATTGTCTACAATAACGGATGCAATCATCAGATTCCTTAAACTGTTCAAGTTTCATACCTTTGATGAAAGTCAGAAAAGTAATTGGATTGAACAAAAGCTTTTTTCATAAACTCCATATTCATTTCACTGGTGAATTATCATGCATAATTAACATTTTTCACTCCACTGCATTTTAAAAATTCCTCGACTTTTGGATCTATTTCCAAGCATGTCCAAACATGTTACATTTTAAATAATTCAAAGAATGCCAAGCTGTGCGTTTATGTTTTTTGCAAATGCACAAATAAACATAACTGCAGAATGAAAATATATTTCAAAATGACTGTGATGGCAAAATCTTGGAAAATCTCAGAATATCAATATTTGTGAAAGTTAGAGTTTAATTTGATTTGACCAGTAGAAACAGACAATTTAACAGTCTGAATGAACAGATAGCTTGTGAAGTGACTAAAAAGCAGGAAAGTGTTTTGTTTTATTTGGAAAGATGAATGCTCTGTTTTCTGTTAAACCAGAAGCCTTGGAGATTCAGTCATACAGTAAACACAAAGCAAATATTTAATTCAGTAGTTACATGGCATGGAGGAGACTAGTTTTACCTGTTATAATATTATAACAAAACCTGTCTGACGGGTTTATTTTTTTTCTCCAATGTAGCTGCCAGAACTGGAAAAGAAGCACAAACTAGGTTTGCAAGCATGAGCTAAGGGCGTCCTGTACCATCCTGTTACCTCCGTGTATCCTGCGAGTTGCGTTTGGGTGATGCTAGTTCCTAGTGGAAAGTAAAAGCTGAGCAAAACTACATGAAATCGTTTCCAAAAAGGGCTGTGGAGTGAGTGTGCGATATTTCTATTATTGTCAACTGTTCATATCTGTTCTAGCTTTGAAGTGTTCTTTTTAGAATAGAGTCGGTTGGAATATCTGAGCACTGCTTCTGTGCTGCTCGTTTTTCCGTGACGGTGCTAATTACTTTCGAGTATTTGTCAGTTCCTTATCACCATTTTAAGTTCCGTTTGCAATTGAACGCATACATAGAAGTGCATTGCTGTCTTTGATATGATGTTCAAGTCGATTAATATCGGTATTAATTTACGCTTCTGTTAGTTTGAGGCAATTTCATATGTTTAACATTTAAACAGTGCTGTCACGTGCGACATTTAGGTAAAAGATACTTTTATTTCTAAAAGACTTCCCAATGTTAATTCATAATGTATCAGAGACTAGAAGCAACAGGCATGTTTCATCTTGTCACAAAAGTCTGTTTCATTTCAAGCGTTGGTTTAATCGATATTTGCACGTAGCTCAGGGTTTCATCTTGACGAATATCATAATTAACAATAAGCATGGATTTCAGGGCCTTTTTTTATAATGCAGAGATAAGCTTAGTGCATTGTTTTGCTGATAAGAGAGTAAGGAGAACTGTAAAAGTAAAGCGCAGCAACAGCGCTGGGAAGGACATGCACATCAGAATCAGCAACATAGTTGTATCATTACAACGTGTCCAGGAACATTAACGTTGGATGTCAATTTCATCTCCGTTTTGGTATTCGCCTTCCCTCCCCACCCGCCCTTCCAATAACCGCGTCTTTCAGGACTGACACTCTCTGTGGTGCCTGATGAATGTGGGTGGGGAGCTTTCTATCGTATGTCTACTTTGTTGACCTTGAGTTATACAATTACCCAAGCATTGGTTTCTCAGGAGAGTTATCACAATTACCCCGGCCCTTTGCCCTCACCGTGCTGATTATTGTTTGAGAAAAACAAACTGTTTAAACAAGCAAACTTGGCAGTTCTGTAGAGTGACGAGACAGCATTTAGTGGAGGTGTTTTCAGAATACTGTTAACGGTCAGATAATATTTGCCATTCATGAAGCAAAAACAATTGGTACCTGCAAGAAATGTTCCAGATTGAGGCCATTTGATTTGAAATTAGTTTCCTTCCCAACACTTAACAACAATAACTTGCATTTATGTAGCACCTGTAACTTGGCAAAAAAAATCCCAAAAACTTCACAGGAGTCTAATCAGACAAAATTTAATACCAAACCACCTGAGGTGATATTCAGGCAGGTTGGTCACAGAGTCAACAAGGTGCAGGGCTGGATGAACACAGCAGGCCAAGC